AGAGGAATAGCGACCGACCGACCGGAATACATTTTGAAACGTTCCCTAAGAGTTAGAAGCAATAAAGATTATCTTAAGTGGTAATTAATACTTATATTTAAAAAACAAATTATTATGAAAAAGAAGTTAATTTTAATCTTCGCTGTCTTCATCCTCATCCGTAGACGTCAACCGAAAAATGAAATCATTTTAATTTAATAAACGAAGGACCACACGTACAAATAATCATGTTAAAGGATATCATCGTCAATTGAATGCGTAAGTGTTGTTTTCCATAGGATATATTCAGCAGTTCTCATGATCTGTTTCTATTTTCAGCCATATTGGAATTCATCCAAACATTTAGAACTGGATAATGAATGTTCAAAAAGCAGAAGAACTATCAGCTATACGCGTATGGAAGAAGAAGACGAACAAGGCCGATCAACAAGAAAAAGACAAAAAAAAACACGATGTTGATCACGATATTCATCTGGTTTCTGCCAGACAAGCATTATTGAGTGAAGAAATAGACTTACGAGGGACCTTTTCCAACTGTCTAATCGTTTTTTGGTCGAAATCTAGTAGGTTATAGGTTAGCGATCACTAGGGATGTTAACTTAGTTTTATTGTTCATTTATAATAATGGATAAAAGTAAATGAATCATTTACTTATTTACTTATTTAAAAATATAAATGAATCATTTACTTTTATAAAATAAAGATAATTTTTTTTCATTTATTTACATTTATCTTTTATATATAAATGACGACTTTATCTTTATTTTTTTAAGTATAAATGATTCATTTACATTTATTTTCCAAAGTAACACTAAATTAACACCCTAGCGATCACGCTGATTCCGAATATCTATATGAGACGGATCGCCAGGCCTTTCTAGAGCGGTTTTCGAAATTCTAATAAAAATGAGACACTTCTATATGACCTTTCCTTACAAAGTTATAGAATTTACAAGAAAAGGCCTGGATTAATTTCTTCCTATTTCTGTAGCTTTGAGCTGACAGTGAACATTTAGGGCTTTTCTTGTAAATTCTATAACTGTGCAAAGAAAGGTCGTGCGGAGGTGGGACATCTCCCATTTTGGTCAGAATTTCGTGGGCTACAATCGCGATCTATTAAGAGAAAGTTTTAGAGACTTTTTGAGGTTTCAGGAAAACTAGTTTTCCCGAAAATCAGGAACATAGGAAGGCCTAGCGGCTCGGTTCATATAGATATTTGGAATCAGCGTGGTCGATAACCTATAATCCTCTAGGTTTCGGCCAGAAAGCGATAGACAGTTAGAAAGGTCCCTCGTTAGAAGAATATCAAAGACTTTGTCGTCGTCATTTTGCATACAATTATTTGGAAGTGTTTAAGAAAACTAGTGATTCGGATATTAGCACGAATGAGGATGAAGACAACGAAGATTAAAACTAACTTCTTTTTCATAAAGAATTTATTTTTTAAATATAAGTACTAATTACCACTTAAGATAATTTTTATTGCGTCTACCTCTTATTTAATTTAATTTTCATTTGGAATATAGAAATGAGAGATAGTTGTATCTCTTTTGAGAAGTTCAATTTCTTGCCAAAATATTCGTTTCTCAAACGAGATACTTTTTAATTGATTAAAATAGATACATTGTAAAATATGGAGTTGTATCTCTTTTGAGACGTAGCAAATATGCAGTGTATGATTTAGAATATCAGGCGAATATCATATTCTTTTCACAGGATTAATTTTGGTGCAACGAACGTTTTATGCAAAGATAATATATGATTATTTAGACAAGCGTACCGATATCAAGGTACATACTACTGCTATTTTAACGTGAAGAAAAAATGACAGATTTCTATTAACTTTTAGAGTTTTGTGAGACCATGTTGGCTCGTCGGACAAAATGGCAGTGATTATACTAAAACGATCAATGAACAAGATGAAACATTAAAAATATTTCGAAATGGTAAGAAAATATCTAAATAAAAAGCAAAAATTTAGCTTATTTTACGCTTACTTTTATAGGTCAATGTAATGTCATGATAGCAACGAATGTGGTGGAAGAAGGGTTAGATGTGCCACAATGTTCGTATGTTATTCGATATGAATATGTTTCAAATGAAGTTGGAACCATACAAGCAAGAGGCCGGGCACGAACAGAGAATAGTGCATATTATCTTATTACGGCCGAAGGTACTGATCCGATTAAAAAAGACGTATTGTGATTGAAATATGTTTGTTTAGAATCTTTAAATCACCTTCGAGAGGAAATGAATCGTTATAAAGAGGAAGAAATGGATTTAGCTTTAAGTGAATGGAAAAATACGTTACCAGATGTGATAAAACGAATCATACAACGAGAAAAAGTAATGTAATTATATTTATCTTCATATGGGCTATGTTTTTTTCATTTTCTTACAGATCAATCTTAATGAAATACAAATATCAGAAGCAATGAAAACTGCTCATCGTTCTTCAATTCGTCTATCATCTACAATTGTTAATGGAAATTTATCATGTCGTTCATGTGGTTATTATCTTGGTGAAATCGATTGGTTACGAAAACGAAAACACATTTATTTTGTTTATGATGAAGAACTATTTAAGCGTGTTGAAATTGAACGAAAGAATAAACCAGAACACAAACACGAAATACAACTTAATGGTTAGTTTGTTGGGAACAATCTCATGTGATCTCCCTCGTCTGCCTTCATATTTTGCCCATATGTAGGGATATTATGGTAAGAAAAAGCTTAAAGGAATTTGTACTTTTATCATTTGTTTCAAAAGTTACGAATGTCTTTTGTTCACCTACAGAGGGGACACTATAACACTAAAATTTTCGCATCTCTGCAAAAATAACAAATTAGTGGCTAAATTTCTTTTTTCATAACTGTACTGGACATCCATCAACTTCATAGAAAATTTCAGTCCTTCAACTATAATAGAAGACGAGTTACTAAATTTCTGTCCTTTGTGAGAATTTATATTTACCAAATACAGAATTTGTATTTGGCGTTTTATCACAGCAGAGTTAGCTAGTAGGATAGTTAGTCAATTATCCGTGTTTAAGAATTAGAAGGGGTCATCGTTATCTCCTTTCTGCCACCAAGAAGGTTTGACTAATGTTTTATCTTTCTTTAAATATAGGTAAAGTATTATGTGGTAATAGACAATGTCGCGAAAAATTAGGCGGTGCTCAATTGTTCACAGATCGTCCAGACATACAAGAAATGTGCGCATTGAAATGTGATGCATTAAAATTCTGTTGCGTTGATGAAAACAATGAGCTTTCGACAACATTTATCAAGAAAAAATGGGCTGACTTACCATTTACCATAGTAGATTTAGAAGAAATTAAACCACCAGTGTATGCAGAAAAACAATAACATATTCTCAATTTTCTGAATATAACTAATAGGATGCAGCCTAGTTCTACTTCAACATTGCGCAGTACAACTAAAAATGAATCAAATCGTCTCAAAATTAAGTAGAAAAGCAGGTGATTTGACTAGTTTTCCGACGAAACACAGTCGGACATTATAATGCAGTATTATTTGTTTTTCTTCCGGAAAGAGAACGCCTTACCAAAATAAAAAATCCAGATTATTATACGATCGGCTTAATCATTTTGATCATCTTTCAGATCTTGGCATTTTGAGTTAGGTCAACAGTTTTCCGTTATCTTTTAAAATAGGATATATTTTTATATCCCAAACGGAATATAGTAGACTAAAGGCACATCAAGGCATAGTGGGTTTTGTTTTCTAAGTGTGGAAGGGAAAGTTCATTTTCGAATAAAAGTGGTTTTATCCGTAACAAAAACTGTAGACTATTTTCACTGGTAGAAATTCTATTTTTAGAGATAATTATAACCAAAGAAGTTACGCATGCATTACGTATGTGTATGCCGATAGCCCGGGGTGTTCTCTTCAAAATGGGAGTAAAGTGAGACCTTGATTTTCTGCGGTTCGGACGTTGTATCGGATTTTCGACGAGTCCCAGGACTGGCACTCGGTGACTCTTGGTAGCCTTAAAGATGGATGGACTATGGGCAATCAACCATGCTGAGCCTCGTGGCAATATTTGTTTTTAGAAAAAGTTTTAAAAATCTATCGAAAAGTCAGTTTTACGAAAATTATGGTTTTCAGGCTGTTTTCACTCAATATTAAAAAATTCACTATTCACTCAAAAAACATCAGAATAAGCTCAAAATCTCAGGATATGATTAATGTTGTCCGCTAAACCTGATTATAAGATCGAAAAAAATCTAAAAAGCACGTTTTTGTTAATAAGTTTTCGAGAAACCATTTTGGGAAACCTTGGGTTTTTAAAACTTATTTCAAGATTTCCTATAAACAGGATATAGAATAGCTTAAATACTCTACATTCTGAAGTTTTGAACTTGTTCTGATGTTTTTTGAGTGAATAGTGAATTTTTTAATATTGAGGGAAAACAGCCTGCAACCCCTAATTTTCGTAAAACTGACTTTTCGATAGATTTTTAAAACTTTTTCTAAAAACAAATATTGCCACGAGGCTCAGCATGGTTGATTGCCCATAGTCCATCCGTCTTTAAGGCTACCAAGAGTCACCGAGTGCCAGTCCTGGGACTCGTCGAAAATCCGATACAACGTCCGAACCGCAGAAAATGAAGGTCTTACTTTACTCCCATTTTGAAGAGAACACCCCGGGCTATCAGCCCGTGAAAAAAAATCAATACATTACATATGTGACTTTCGGCAAATCCAAGCAAATTTCCCAGAGATCCTCTGAAAAACCGGCTTCATAAGTTTTTCTGGCATTTGCATTTGCTTACAGAAATATGTGGTCAGATGTCTCGATTTCAAAACTGAAAATTGCAAGTCTCTATCTTGTTCCAATCAAAAGTTATTCAAAAAACATCCACATACCTTGACTTTTGGCGTCAATAGTAGTTGAAATAACCCATTTTTGATTATTTTCACCAAAAATTGAAAAACTCATTATTTAGTCAAAATCCATCCAACCTATTTCAGAATGTCACAAAATACTATATTCTATCTGCAACATATCGTAAAGCTCAATTAATGTTGAAAAAACCAACAGAAAATACTATGGTTTCTAGAAAGGTTTTCCAGAAACCGTTGAAATTTTATTGCTTTTACGTACAGAATCAGAATGAGCGGACAAAATAGAGTATTTCCTGACATTCTGAAATAGCTTCGATGGATTTTGACTGAGTTATGAGTTTTTCAATTTTTGATGAAAATAATCAAAAATCGGTTATTTCACCTAGTATAGGTTTTCATTCGGTTGTTGTATTTTTTTCTAAAAACTAATATTGCCATGAGATTCAGCATAGTCGATAATCTATGTTTTCATTCATTTCTGACAGTACCAAAGCTAACGGCAGAAAAGTGCGAAGGCTTCAGGAAAACAATAGCTCCCGAACCACGGATTTTCAAGATGTCGCTTGGATCCAGTTTTGTAGAAGGCACTTCAGACTATATATGCCACCAAAAAAATCACTATATTCCTATCGGAATTTCGGAAAATTCCACCTAATTTTTCAAAGATATTTTGGAAAACCACCTTCAAAAATTTTTCGGAAAATCGGTTTTGCTTGTTAAACGATAGGCTCAAGTTTTAGCTATGGAATAGTGAAAATCGCAAGTGTCTACCTTTATTTGATGGTGAGTTATTTAAAAAATAGTCCCGTGCCCTATTTTTTTTAACAGACAGTAGTATGTTGTCTGGCAGGATGAAACAGAAGCGAAACAGCCATTCGTTGCCGCGAACGCACTTAGCTCGCGATGTCGTCATTTTTCGCAAGGGCATTTTGAAATATTCTATGTTAAAACTCATAGAACATCATACTAGTTGTTGAGTGTCTTATATATCTTATTATTATCGTGAAAAGCGAAAAGGTGACGGGTGAAAGATAATTAGTCTATAGTGGCAATTAGTCTATAATGTCAATCATGTCTGTACGTATATGATCCTTTCTTTCGTTTCTTTGAAATTTGGTATTCATGTATCATCATATACTGCTTGAATCGTACTATATTGCATATAACCCTTACTTTTAGTCGAGAGAATATGCATAAAGTACTTCTTTAGAATGATGCCTGTTTTGTTTGTATGATGAATCGTGGTGAAAGTAACAGAGAAAAGAAAGGAATCTTCCTACCCAACCAGTATATAATGATACATAAATACCAAATTTCAAAGAAACAAAAGAAACTACCGTATACGTACAGACTTGACTGACGTGCACGTAAGATGGCACCATAGACTGATTATCTTTCATTCATCACCGTTTTCTTTTTTCACGATAACAACCAGATATATAAGACACTCCTAGTGTACCAACTGTTGGCTGGTCCGAAGCATTGTTCGCTTGGCAAATAGAGTGAAAAGGTCAGGCGACCGTACCTATAAAAAGTCAGACGACTACTATCTGCATTCTGTTTTTCAGCACATTACGCTGTACTACTCTAAGTCCAAACAGATGCGTCATATGACCAGTCAACTTCTTTTTTGTTCTTATTCGTCATCCTAGGATGTTTTAGAAATAAAACCAATGTTTTTAGACTTGAACTTTTTTTCAATATTTTTGGGAAGTGTAAAATAGTTAGTATAATATAGCTGCATGTTTTTCTTTTACACTTCTATCAGAAGAAAGAATCATCAGTAGATAAACTTGAATTTTATATTGATGTCTCACCAAATACTACTTAGATAGGATGATTTCTTTCTCGTCTCTATTATTTTCACCAGGACTAATCGTATAAATGAACTGAGAATCATTATAAAGATGTGCTCTGTGAATATTCGTTATCTATGGGCTCGGTTCGAGCATATGCTGCTATAAGTAAACTACTCTCCATCCCAAAATATAAGGTAGATCGTTGTTTTTTAAAAACTCAATAACGGGAAAAGATAGAGACTCACAGTTTTCAGCAAATGAAAGAGGACAGTTGACTTCATATTTTCATAAGCATAAAAAGTTTTGGATCCGGTTTTTCAGAGGATCTCTGGAAAACCAGCCTATAGCTCCAAAGTTTTACATAGAAATCTATCAGTTTTTTTTCATATATGGATAGCCCAAGGTGTACTCTACAAAACAGGAACTAAGAAAATATTTCACTTTGCCTTGCCCGAAAGTTCTGAAGGTTTTTCCCGAACTCTTAGGGCTTCTCTGTAGTTAGGTTTAGATTCTAGAAATGCATAAAAATATAGGTGGTCGATTATGCTGAATTTTGTGGCAACATTTGCTTTTCAAAACAGTTTCAAAAGCCTAGTGAAAATGTACATTAGGTAAAATATCTGTTTTTGCGTATTTTGAGTGAAATCAAAAACTTCATAACACAGCTAAGATCCATCCAAATTATGTCAGAATATCAAGATGTACTCTATTTTGCCTGCTCCATACTACACAGTTTAATAAAAGCTTTAAAAATTAATAGAAAATACTTCGATTTGAAAAAGGTTTTCATCTAGAAAACATGAAGATATCACTCACTTAAGAATCTTAGATCAGTGGAATTCGATCGACGAAATACCGTTGAGAGTTTAGAACACCGCTATGTCTGTACTCCTATTTGTAATAAAACAGATGAAGGAACGTCAAAAAATCAACTTTGTCGAGAATAAAATTTCAAAAGTAGAATTGTAAGAAACTGTTTTGTCTGCTTAACTCAGCATTATTTTCAGTGTAACTAAGTTATAAACGGTGAGTTTCTGAATAAAAAATTTATATCAAGAGCCATACAGAGACGAAGAACTTACAAAAACAGCCGTTGTCCTGGCTCCTGCAAAAAAGTTGCGTTTTAATTCATTAGGCGGAAGAATACGCAGCACTTTCATAAGTAACAAGGCACTACTAAAGTTGTTTGCGTACCTTTATTGTCATTTTTAATCCAAAAAACCTCGGCGGGATCTCGTTTTAAAACGGATTGAATTCTCTACCGAATGATCTGGTTTTGCAAAATGTTGGACAGGCTCCAGATAGTAGAGGTTTTCTAGAAAACCTGAATCTTCGAAGACTCATACCTTCTAGAATCGGCAATAAAGAGAGTGGCTGGATATAGGACTAGATGCCGAAATGTGCAATGAAAGATCGTCAGTTTTCGTAAAAACCGTGTTTTCGCTTCGAAAGATGCACTACTTGCTTTTGATTTTCACCTTGCTGGTAAAAAATATTTTGTACATTGCCTAATTATTCGTTTGGGCCAACTTTAAATGAGAGTCTGGCGGATGTCCGCAGCAGTTTGGGATATTGACGCAAGAGGTTTTTTGTTCTTCGTTATCACTAGTATAACTAACTGCCTCCTCTCCGTCTATATGTGTGTGTTGACGATAATAAGAGAACTGGTGAAAAAATCTATCTGTATGTATAATATGCACAGATAGGTAGTACGCTTTTAACAAGAAAAAAAGAGACAACAGAAGGATAACATGCATAAGAAGAAGAAAGCAAACATAACTAAAATGTATGTAAGGTTATAGCCAGTGACAAAACCTTATATTCTCTTCTACGAACTTTTGCATCTTCTAAAATCATGTCAACTAATTACATCCGCCTGTATTTACTACCGTGTATATTTTTGTTATTATGCGGTAATAATTGTGTTATAAACCGTAAGCAGAATTGTTTCCCTTTACGTAGTGCTTAGGATCATCGTAGCGTTTCTTTTTTTTCTTTCAGGCCGAGATGGTTATGGCATGGGGGTATATGGGATATCCGTCAAGACTGCTAGCTCCACTGGTGGTGGCGTTGTACAGCGTAAGTCCTTTCCACTTTATAATTTTGTCTGGTCGCCTGTGATGAATCGTACGAGCCATATTGTTTTAAAGTAATGAAGAATCAAATTTTTCGCATTTTCAATGAGCATTGAATATCTTTCATCTTTCTTCAGTTCTGTTTTGAAATTTAAATTAGTGATTTGGAGCGACATTTCAGCTTTGCACTGCATTAAGTCCCAGAACCTTATCCTGAAGTAACACCGCACAAAAGCTTCAGTTTTTCGAAGCTTTCGAGCAACACACGAAAGTTTGTCGAGATGGATTAGCATTCCATTCTGAACAGCGTTGTTCTCTACTGAAAACTTATACAAAGCAGAAATTGTCGTGTTTCGTTCTGAATTTAATCCCTCCACCAATATAGTTCACTTGTGAAAAAATCGGTTTTCCAAAGGTTTTCTTGGAGATCCGATTTTCAGCCTGTTAGAGTAAAAATTGATATCTGCAAATCACCTGGCCGATTTTGGGTAAAATTGCTTATTTTTATAAGGCGCCCGTAATTCAAAGTTTAAGCACTATTTCTTTTTTAATTTAACAGACATATTCTGATAGAGGAAATCGAGCTTAATCCGAATATCATATTTATTTTGCTTTACGACCTTTCCTTCTCGATGAAAATTGCGAAATACTGAGAAGTATCCGAAAATCGGAAAAGCCTATACTTCAGATGTTTTGCGTGTTGTTTTTTCTAGTTAAATTTTGGAGCTTTGAAACAGGATTTTTCTGAATCAGCGTGTAAAACTGCCTATGATAACGTGTCTTTGAACTTCTCCGCATCGCTCTTAGCCTTTGCAAAAGATTCATTTCTAAGAGAACTCAAAAACGAGACCCGTCGCTCGAAAAAGCATCAACTCTCTTGCCTTAACAGATGAAGTCTTGTCTCAACACGAAAACCCCTAAATTAATTTTTTCCTTATTTCTGTAGCTATTAGCTGCCAATGAACATTTTTTGCAAAGTTATAGAATTTACAAGCAAAGCCCTAAAAGGTCGTGTAGAGGTGGGAGATGTCTCATTTTAATCAGAAATTTACGGACAACAATCATGCCTCATTAAGAAAGGTTTTGGATATTTTTTAGAGTCTCTGGAAAACTGAGTCTTCAAGAGCCATTAGCAAAAATTCTCCGCTGCAAGGCGGTTCGAATACTGTGTTAAACAAGGATTCATCTGTTAAGGCAAGAGAGTTGGTGCTTTTTCGAGCGGAGAGTCTCGTTTTTGCGCTCTCTAATTTGAAACGTCCGTTAGAATTCCAGAGCTTTGAAAAACAGTTTTCCAGAATCAGGTTTTGATGCTCGTTTCGAAAACCATCTTATTTTTTCTCTGGTAAAAGGTGCGCTAAAAAGGGTTCAAAAGGTGATATTCATGGTGTCCGGTAGTCAGGCTATCCAGTCAAATGTAATACAGTCAAAAAACGTTTCCACTGGGTTTTCACATTACGAGTATTTTACCTTTTTAAAAAAAAATACAAAAAGGCGAAAGCAGATTTTTATAGAGCTGCACTTGCGTGCCATTTTGTAGGTGAATTGTTAGTGACAACTGTGTTACAGCTAACTCTTGTTTCTGACTGGATGTGAGTCAGAAAGGCATTCTTCTGTGTTTTCTCTCCTTCCTTTTGTTTCTGTGTGAGTATGTATTGATTTTTTGTTCTCTCTCTCGGTATGTGATATTTTTTGTCTGCTAACAACTTAGAGTGTCGGACGTTTCACGCCGGTTTAACTTTTACGTTCATTATATTATTGTGTGGTGTGTTTACATTCATCGTCATTCATTTCTATCATTTATATTCATTGCCATAATTCATTCATTATTCAGAATATTACTGCGGAGAGAGCTGATTACATCGCAATTGCATTAGGTTAGTTTCTTTGTGAGAGTAGTCGTCCCGGCGAACGGGCTATCAACATCAGTTTCCACTATCTGGCGTCAGTCCGTGTGCCTGTATCTCACATGATTCCCGTTGGAATTTTTATTGGACATCAAAATTTACTGTAAAACGTTATATCATTTTTGAAAACACGTGTTCGGTCACGCCTGAAAAGACTTTTAAATAGGCCTGCCGTTACACCTATACTCTTGTACAGTATAGTAGTTTTTTTGACTACATTATTACACCGTATACTATAGTTTACTGTGAAAATTTACACAACGACAAAGAATTTTGTTTGAATCTGAAGTATTGAGCAGTCAGTAGAAGTTTTTTGAAATTCAATGACGAATATTTTATTCAACAGGCACAGGTGAACAGATTTCATTGTCAAAAAATCTGATGACATTCTTAGCCATGACGAAAGGGTCAAACTGCGTCGCACTAAACGGATAAAAAATAGGAAACTGAACTTGCTACAAAAATGCCTCATCACCGGAACTTTTACAACCTTTTCTTTCTAGTCAAATTTCGTGAAAAATGTTTTATCTGCTTGGTTTAACATTATATGAACCTGCGGTTGGGACCAAAAACGTCCTAAACCATTTTGACAGTAAAAACCTGATTCCAGAGATCCATACCTAGTGAACAAAATGTTCACCCTTGAATTTCAGACATTTCACATTCAAAAAGATGTTTTACTATAAGAATTTTCCTACTGTACGATGCTATACGAAGTGCAGAATGCTCGAAATACGACTACGGTACACATCGTACAGCATTGATATTTCAAGAGGCCAACTAGTAACAGACATATTCCTCACATTCTCCATTTTCCCTTATCTCAGCGGCGGATAGGTAATGCAAAATCAATATGTCTTATCATTATCAGATGAACAGTCTAATCATAGACTTGTTAATCAGTTGCTGTCTACTTGATTTGAGGAGAACTTGTATTTCTATATATAGAGCTTACAGATTTTATTCTTCTTTCTGTAAATAGACATGAACTGCAATACTCACGGAGAAGAGACCAGTTATCGAATTCGTCCAGTTATTAATGACACATTTTCAAAATACGACGAAAATTTACATAATATTTCAAATTTGATTCATCAGTACCGTGAAATTGCCTTTGAAGAACATAAGTCATCAAAACTACTTACCGATTTTCTAGTACAAGAAGGTTTCATCGTTGAATACGGTATTGCCAATCTTTCAACGGCCTTCGTTGCTACTTACAGTAATAGTAATAATAGTCAAAGTGGTAGAACAGTCTCGTTTAATTCCGAGTTCGATGCTCTACCTGAAATTGGTCATGCATGTGGGCACAATTTAATTGCAATTGCCGGTATAGGTGCTGCTTTGGCTGTTAAACAGTATTTACAGGAGCAGCAGACAAATGGCACCGTGAAACTGTTTGGTACACCGGCTGAAGAAAATGGAGGTGGCAAGTTGCATCTTGTTAATGCTGGTTACTACAAAGACGTTGATATGAATATAATGGCACATCCATCTCAGAACAGCGGTGCATTCGTACCCTATCGTGCAATAGCAAAATTGGAAGTAGAATATTTCGGTAAATTAGCACATGCTGCAATCGCACCTTGGCATGGTAAAAATGCTTTAGATGCATTAGTCTTAGCATACACTTCTTTGAGTGCACTGCGTCAACAATTGCATCCTTTGTATCGTTTACACGGTATTATTGTTAACGGCGGCAGATCGGCGAACGTTATTCCCGATTACAGCAAGGGTATTTTTATGATACGTACGCCAACTGTCAATGATTTATTAAATGAATTTAAACCACGTGTCATACAGTGTTTCCTTGCAGCTGCAAATGCAACTGGATGTGAAGTTAAAATTACAGAGAAGGGAATAAATAAAGATGTTAAAATAAACAGTATACTTGCACATCGTTACGAATCATATTTTTCGGGTATTATGAACACAAAACTTTTGCCAAAATACGAACAAGAGCGCATGTCATCTGGTTCAACAGATCAAGGACATGTTTCGTATGCGGTACCAGCCATACATGCTGAATTTGCGATTCCGACAGAAAATCAACAGGGACCACATACAAAAGAATTTGAACGTGCTACAACTACCGATGAAGCTTTCCAACAGACAATTAAAGCTTCGAAAACTTTAGCATCTGTTGCAATTGATTTCTTAGAAGATGATTTATTTGCAAAGAGTGTTGTAGATGAATTTAAATTATCGTCGACATCTGATACAACCACCACCCAATCATAGATCTATCTATGACTGCATCTATAGATGTTCTATCGACTTTGTTTTGTAATACAATGTAGTTTAAAATGCAAAGATCGAGCTTATAATAAAAGGATTAAGGGCGTTACACTGACTTGGAAAAAACTTTGGAAGTTTAAAGTATGGCTTTACAATTTAAATTAAAGTTATCCTAACTTTCAGAATTTCTTCTTCTCTATAAGATACATGAAGGAAGAAGAAATCCATCTTTGGTCATTTAGTGTTCCGATTCCCAGAGGAGCCTTTGAGTCCTAAGTCACATCGTCTGCGTCTAGCTATCTTGCGACATAATTGCCAGCTGTACAGTTCTAAAGATTATTTACTATTTTTCAGAGTTAAACTGCCTGTGCAAAAATAAAATCATCAAATTCGACGAACGTCGTCAAACTCGGTTTAGTTTTAGGAAAATGAATCCTATGTGCGTCATGAAAGAATTGTAGTAGGAAGGACGAGGCCGGATAAAGCCATTTTTCAGTTCTAAATATTTCTCAATAAAAACCATCGGATTATGGGTTATTCGACATGAACAAAATGGCTCATCAATTTTTCGATCTGACTTTGGAGTTTCCGATCCTCAGGAAATCTTGAAAAAAGCTTAAACAAGGGTCAAAATGGGAGAAGCTTCATGTATTAGCTATGGTGCTTTCTTTATTATAATTGAACGAAAAGAGGCTGCAATACGGACTTTATACCACATAAGCTATTTTCTATGTTCTATCGAGTGGCATGGAGAGTCTTAATAGGCGTAACTTAGTACTTAAAGTTGGCGTTTGAATTCAACGATGAAAAGCGGTTTGTTTACCCGATCTGCATTAAAAGAACTTCTGATATGCGCGTCTATGCGGTTGTTCGGATATTGTATCAATGCTTAGGTGTTGTATTAGGTATATTTATACGATAGTATATGAGAATACATTTATTTTCGCCAGGAAAAAAAGATGTAGTTGACATCTTACACATCAAATGAAAGCTCTTTGCATATACTGTCTGATGATGTCGTTTTGTAAAGGTAGAAGTATGATGTTCTCTGGATCAAAATATGAAGCAAGCAGAATACAAGAACTCTCCCGTTAGTGGGTAATCCACCTGTCTGTCTAACATCAACAATGAATAAACCACTATTCCATACTTTCCGTTATATATGTTCTATATAATTTGTTGTGTGTTTTCTTGTTCTTTTGATCACGATGGAAGAAATAGCTTAATCCTCACTACGCTCGAAGTTGTTCCCTTACACAGTGGGCATCCGGGCGGACATTTGTCGAAAAACTGAAAGTGTGTTTTTTAAAATTCAAATAGTGTTAACTATACTTGGATGGACGGTCTGTCTAATGGCGTAAAAGTTTTTATTGCAAGTGGCAAAATTTCGGGAAAAATTGATTACAAAAAGAATAACATAAATACTGGCGATCTCCAAAAAAAAACGATTTTTCTATTCGATTAAGCATACTTAAAATTCTAAACTTTATATATTCTGAACCTGTATACTTTCATTTATTTGATTTTGAGCAAGAACCAGTTCTCTTTGATTTATTATTATGAACTTTGGAAAAAAAAAATTTTCCGAACCTACCCTCGAAAAGACACTGCAAATGTATTTAGGTTCCTATATTTTCCTAAACTCTAATCTGACTTAAATTTATGCCAAACTGTTCTGCGACATACCCCGCATCTCCGGTGCATGCAACTTTATGCAACTATTTTCCTAGAATTAGGTACAGGTTTTCCAAAAAACCCTGGTTTTTCCGGTATTTTTTTAATTTTATTTTAATTTAATAAAAAACTCAGTCCAAAAATTTGGTTTTGTGTTTCAAAAACAAATACGCTTCTGTACTTTTTCATAGTGTGTTTGAATAGCATCTAGAAAATTATTTAGCAAATAAAAATGACATTTTATTACAGTCAAGTGCTGAGCAAAGGATGTTTTTGTGGGATCCATTTCTGATGTGTTAGCTAGGGTTATCAAAGCCATGCTATTCAGCTGTTAGCTCTGTATTAAATTATTTTGTCATCAGAAACTGAGAAATATCAAGTTCTGTTTAGGTTTTTTCGTTCTGTCGAACGGTACATCATTCAAAGAGTCTGAACAAAGTTTAGAGCCAGCTGGAAGGTAAAACCAAGGATTTGTATATTCTTGAACGTTTTTCAAGTCTTACAACTCCAATCTGGAGATGCTTCGTTTGTTTAGCTAGGATGAGGGTAGAAACTGATATCTGACATGTCCTGAGCATGTCTAGAAGGTAAAACGCCCTTTTTACTGTTCACCTTGACTTTTCCTTAATTTTTCACTACCCTAACATACCCTGAAATTTTGCCAGTTTGTAGAGAATACCTTCAATGGTATGTCTGTGCAATAAAAAAAAAAATTCATCAAATATTGACCAAGTTATTAATTAAGTTCAAAATTAACTGTAGTTTTTAGTTTGAGAAGCATCTTTTAAAACCTTTCTAGTTTTCTATATAAATGTTACATCCAATTGGTCGTAATGTAGTTTTATAGAGAGTTGTTTGTAGGTATAATTCCATGCAAAAAAGTTTAAAAATGATATCCCTGAGCATTGTTTAATTACTAATTAGTCCTAGTTAGCAGTAATTAGTGGCACTCCAGTGGACATAGTAAATTTTCCTAATGTCAGAACAAATGGAAGCAAATCATGCGATATATCATTCGCGCATCCTTGTGGAAGAAAAAACAAATAACTCTTGCCACTTTCTCTGCTTTATATAGCGACCTTCCATTAAGTACGTCCAGACCCACAGTGCCGGAAAACATGCGCGAATTTAATTAGTAGGAGATGGGTGAGGATGAAGATCGTTGAGGGTGAGGGTGTCTGGTCGAGAAACTTTATGTTCCAGGTCTACAACATATGTCACAAAAAATTGCTGATGAGAAGACTGGAGATCAGCTGCCTTCACGTGTCGAAGTAGACTATCTCCAATAAATGCATGTTTCGATCTGAGGGCACGACTATTAGCGTAGTTTTTAAATCTTTTTCATGAACTTGTCCTTCATTTGTACGATCATTGCTGTTATGAATTGGAGAAGAAATTTATGAATGCTTAGGAGTAGAGGTGGATGTAGTGTGATGTCGCATGTGATGTGAGTTTTTGACACAAAAACAACCGATTGAAATGATTGTTACAGAGGAAAAAATGACTTTTGTTGAGTTTGTGATGATGAGTGATGACGTACAGGTAATAACGAAAGAAGAACCAAATTTTTTTGCAATGTTGTATCATTCTGAGTCAAATTGAATTAAAACTAAGTTCACCTGAAAAAAATCGTATGCGATCGCAGTTTCTCTAAATTTAATGTTTACTTTTATTTAAAATTCATTTTTGAACTCATGGTTTCAATTGCTTTTGGAAATAGTCGCATTTAATTGTAAAAACTTTTGAAAAAATCTGACTGATTAGTGTTAGTTAACTGACAGAAATTCAGTTTTGTCGTGTTCGATATTTCTTTTGTCTTTTCAATATTTTTGTTGCCTACGTGTATTATGTGACCGATAATATTTGTCTCTACAAACAAATTAGACGGCGTTGCGCTCGAACTGCTCCCACTGTCTGTTAAGAAATACATATGTTTTATCGAATTATATGCGGAATTGCCAACATTGTAGAGTTGAGCACAGCACTGTCGTAAACATTGATCAATGTTACCTGGTGATTTGACAATTTTACAGAACAAAACTGGTTTATGTGTTCCTCTGTCACTGCGGAAAAATCAAAAATGACTTCGATACCATCATTGCAGGTAATACATAGAGAAACTTTGCTGTAAGGTAAATACTGTCTGAAGGTAAAAAGAAAACTTAGAGTTGGAAGATCTGCCAGTTCTAACCTACCTGTTCTTGAGCACGTTTTTTATCAATGCTTCAGCTAATTCTAGGCGACTGGCACCGAATAAACCACTAAGCCCATCTGAATACCGCATAGACGTATTTGTACCCAACAAATAGATCTCATAAACTGTTGCTCTTGTTGGTTGAATAGATTTAAAAGATCGAACAATATTCAAAAGACTGCGATTATTAATGAGTATAGTATGCGAGTCGAATAAATAACGACATTTAGGACAATTCACAGTCGGTTGTCTATTAATGCGAATATAATCAGTGATACATTTACGATCAAACGAATGACCACACGGTAACAATACTGGATCTCTGAACAGTTCAAAACAAATACCACATTCAAGATCTTTAGATGGTAAGCTGGCGACATTAGCCATGCTCGGTTTATCTAGAAAAAAGGGTTCTAGAGGTGTATATTTAATTTTAATAGTCTCTCCATCGAATACATTCATTAAAACCTACTGTTGCTGTTATCACAGACAAAAACGTTGATTAACTGAAATATACATATTACTCAGTTGCAGGTATACTAATGAAATTGTACATGATGGCTCATGAACCTTTCAATTCTAGGCGCCGTCCAATTAGGCGCAGACTCAATTAGGGCAACCTTCCTAGAGCATACAATATTGAAATCAGTCTCTAAAAGCCTGCAACTGTGCATTATTCCTCGCCGCATTCGAATCAGACACGAAAAAGTTCCTCTAGTTTGAGTCAAAGTCAGAATTTTCTCTGATACCATCGATACAAGTAATACATACGGAAACTTTGCTGAGAGGATTTAATTATAGTCCACTGTTGCCATTGCTTGGAAATGTCGTTTTCTCACATTGATTACGGACGTGGATAATAAATAAAGAGAGAAAAATTGAAGTCTCTATCTATGCTATTTTCTGGAAAAAAGCAGAAAACAGTGTGAGAAAAACGTCACACTGTTGGTTCGTCTAAACAGTTCTATT